ATCTACTGAAAATAAGTACTTCATTAACAAGAATGTGTTCAAAGATTTACACAATCACATAGGTTTATCAACTCTTCTAAACAAAAAAGGCTGGGCAAAATAAATCTATCTAGAAAACTTTAAAATAACTACACTGTCCTTTAACATAACAGATATACCAAGTAATATGTCATGCTAATTGAACAGCATTGCAAATCACTACAGGTAATGGTGAAGCATTTTATTCGGTATTCTAGAACACATTTTTTCCAAAATGACACACTAGGATAATCTATTTCCCTTTCTTTTTTGAAGAAGGGGAAAAAGTCAGAATTTTAAATATATTTGTCCAACACTACTGAATAAGCATTTAGGTCTTTAAATAATGCTCTAATGCTCTAAATTGAAAATGCTTATATAGTTAAACAGTGTATTTAAAATGTGTATTACATCAACGTGCAAGAATGACTCAACAATGTGAGACAATCTGATGATACCTAAAAGTACAGCACAATTGATTTCTAGAAATCAATTGCTATAGGTAATTCTGCAGTCTCATAAATAAATTCTTTACTTTCTTATAACCAATAGCAAGCATTTCAAAACAAAACTAATTAATGAAGTCTAATCAAAATGCCAATGTTTTGGACAAATAGTTCTGAAAAGTGATAAATACTCATCATATCCACTTATAAATCTACTTGAGAAAGTTTTGTGGCTTCTAATAAAAATATCTTCTGTGGAAATGTGCTCTATGTTCTCTGTTGTAAGCAAAAATCATCCCTTTTATTACAATATTATATTGGGATTTCATATATAACTTCCATTCAAACCTACTATATTAAAATGACAGAGTTGTGTTTAACTTTGCTAAGGTAAAAGAAGATATCACATTTAAGAAAAGAATCTCTTCCTTTCTTTGATTAAAGCATGACAAGTAGAGAAAAGGATTTTTTGAATTCATATCAGGAAGGCGGCTTAAAATGTACAAAAATCATACGTAAGAGCTGAGGTAGAAACAGACTGAAAGAATTAGCTTAAAAATGACATGTTTAAAAAATGTTCAGTCACTAAGAGGATATAAATGAGGATGTCCCTTGTATTGTTTCCAAAGAATATTAAACATTTTGGACATGTTAACATAACTGTGTTTATTCATATGATAAGAATAAAAAAAACTGACTTACATTAAAGTGACTGTAAAACTATATTTTAAAAATCATCTAAAATTTACATATTGATCCAGAGCCCTGTTATGTTTCCCCTGATTCTCCAGGTCTAGAAATAGAGGGTCCTAAAATGTGACCAATGTGGTTCTAGCATCTTCTGGTCTTTGCTATGTCACATCACAAAACATTAACTCCTATGTTCCGTGTACTACAAAATGCAATTTGAAGATTGGAGAAAAAGTTAATTTCTCCATAGGCAGATTAACAAATTTTGTTAGGTATAAACTACTAATATGAATTAAACATAGAGCAATTGAAGTCAATATTTAATAAGTTAATGAAAACATTAATTTGTGTTTGTAGCAAATTACAATGTATTCTAAGACATACATGCATGCACTGAAATCCAAAGTTTAAGCAAAGGCAGTACCAAAGGTTCTGTATTGAATAGATGCATCATTAAAACTCTATCAGGAAGGTCCAAATAGCTCAAGTGAATCCTTCAGAGATTTATCAGTGAATAACATTGTTAGGAGTAAGGGAAATTTTGACACTTAATATATTGCTTCACTAACTTTACAAGCAAAATTAAAATGATAAGAATGCTGTAGTTATTAAAAGAAGTTTCATTGTAAGTCCACTATTTAAGCTAACAGAGAAGATGATTTGTAAAATGATAGTTTTAGTTGGTAGATTACAGAATGGTTTCCCTGTTGTATTATAATGCCACTTAAGGAAAGTTTTGTTTTCCCTGATTTTTTTTTTTTCTCTAAAACAGGCATTCTGGCATTTAGGAGATAGAAATGTATCATTTGACCTTTACACTTCTATTTCATTAATGCAACCACAAGCAACAGAGTCACTGACTGACATGTTTGCACTTTCAGGCCTTTAGCTCTTAAAGTTATTTGATAACTGTTATGCCACTATTTGTTCTTTCTTAGAGACACTTTGAGGAATGTGTTACATTAAAAAACAGAGCATATTGGGTAAAGCTTAATAAATGATATCATGTAATTTCAGTAAAGTGTTCTCTTGAGCACTAGATTTTTGTACTTTGATGGGAGGGGGTGTATGTTTGAAGGCAAATTTTGTTTTGTTTTGTTTCCTAATGAATTAGAGAGCAACATCAAATATGATTCTAAATCTCCAATGTAAAAATGTAAAATATAACTGTGACATTACTTTTGATGAAAAATGTGACACCTGACTTACATACTCAATTGACAGTCCTTAAGCTCTGTCTGCATTGGTGCAAACAGAGCAAATACCAGATGCAGAGGGAAGAGTCAAGAAAAATAAATGATAGAATTGAACAATTTTTAACAGAATTTCTTATAAACACATATATTAAAATAGTTTAAAAAAGCCTACGGACAATGTAAAAAGGTAAAAAGTGGGATACTCCCTAGAGAATTACAGAATTACTATAAGCGAATTACTTTGGGTAAAAAGTAATGTAGATCAGACTTCTGTTTCATACGACAAGAAACTATTGTGGTTATTGAAAAAATAAACACTGTAATTGGTAGAAACATCACTTAAAAGAGACAGAGATTTTATTCTTTTTAAAAAGTTTAAGAGTCAAAAGCTCCCTCATTAAGATATTACAAAAGTCAGGATAGAGCATCTCAAAGGATGTGTTACAGTGTACACAAGTAAACAAGGGCTGCACCAAAGCAACAACACTGGAAGGATACTGCCCCAACTAGCTAGAGAAGCTTTAGTAGTCTAACCAATGAGAGAACTAAACCTAGGTCTCCTAGAAGCAGAATGTAGTTTCAGATATTTTAATTAGCTATAGCAGGTATTAGATTCATTAGAAACAAAATGCCAAGATATATCATCCAAGACAAGTAGTGTAACAAACCCTTTAAGTTGAAATGTTCATGCTCATTACAAATAAGCAATATGCTGCCACACACACATAGATTGCAGCTCCCATGATCTGTGTTTGCAGCCTCTCAAGGTAGTGTTTCACGCTCACCACTGTTGTTCAAACTTCCAAAACAAACTTAATATAAAGAACATAAATGGGGGTTTTATTTATATCCTCTATGTGACATATATCTTCAATGAAAAGGTATTTACTAAGTTAAAACAGATTATATGTTACTTTTGTATACATTCAGTGGCATTCTGTATTTACAGCATTATAGACAACTATTATGAAAGCATATTAGTCATTAGTGTATATCAGAAATTATAACAGTATTCCAAGTGAATTTGGAGTCCTAAGCATGTTTCAGAAGGTGTAAAACATATACCACACCCAGATCCCAGATCGTTAAATTTAAGATATGTTGCACAATTCAAACAGAAACCTATCCCACTCTCTGTCACCTTAGACATGCCATGTATACTGATTTTGTGCATGCACACTTACAAGCCAACTACCACCCAGTGGAGAGAAAGGAGATCTTTCAGGGAGATTTGAAGTGTACGTCAGCTGGGGGTGTCAGGAGGAGAAGGTAGGGAGATGGGAAATGAAGGAATAAGAGTGTTTAGCCTTTTTTAGATCTAAGCACTGCTGATCATCAATTCATATTTTCACAAGAGAAAAAAGAAAAGCTCACTCTACAGTGTTGCTCAGTGGTAAAATCAGGCTGTGGATGTTCACTAATGACAAAACATTTCAGTGCTCAAGCTTAGGGAAAAGAAGAGAGGAAGGGAGAGTAAGAAAAAGAAGTAAAACTGAACATGAAGGAGGGAGGAAGGAGAGGAGGAAGAAGGGATCAAGAGAAACAGAGAGATGGGGGGGTCATGTGTACACATGTGTGAGTGACAGTGTGTGGAACAGTGAAGGAGTGTGTGCCTTTTAGACAGTGAAAGAGAATGTGAATATGAAAGTGGTTGTTAGAGCATGGAAGTGCCAGTGTGTGTGAGGATGTGAAAGAGAGTATGGGAGTGAGTGTGTTGAAGGGAAACAGATTTGTGAGTGTGAGAAAATGGTAACTGGAAGGGTTCAGAGGGAACATGCATGTGTGTGTGACGGTGATGGGAAAGGAATGGGGAGAGGGATGGGAAATGTGACTCAAAAAAGGGAAGACAAGATCACAGAATAGGGACATGAACATGAACGAGGAAGAGAAAGAAGGAATGGGGAGAGGTGACGCGTGGAGGAAAGGAGGGGTATACAGGATCAGAAATCAGAGTGGTGAAGATAAACAGGAGGAGAAAATAATAGAAAAGGCAGGAAAGATTACAGAGAAAACAGAAAAAGGATGAAAACAGGCAACAGAGGAAAAGGAGAGTAAGAAGGAACCGGAAAACAGGAAAAGAAAATGAGGAGGGGGAAAAAAAGAAGGGAGGAAACAATCAGTGGAAGGAAAGAAAGCTGAAGACAGAGAAATTGAGCCTAAGTGTCCAAGTGAAAGGGAAAATAAATGGGAGCAGGGAGCCAGCAGTTTGCAAAAGTCGCTTAGGCTAGAGTAAAATAGAAACAAACCTGATAAACTTGTCAGACTCTCCAAGAGTACCCCATGACAGTAAAACACAGACCTTGTGAATTGAGTTTCAAAGTGGCATCTGCCCCTCCTAAACCTCACTCTTCACTCATCCCAGGACTACTTGGCGTTCCGGCAAAGTGCTTTAGCATCACGCGTCCAGCTTGCTACCTGCCCCAGCGTAAAGGGGCCAGGCTCCAGGCAGATCCAGCACCTGGATTTCTTGAGTGTGTGTGTGTGTGTGTGTGTGTGTGTGTGTGTGTGTGTGTGTGTGTGTTTATGGTGATCACCATCAGCATTATTACTCAGTGTTAAAAAAAAAACAAAAAAAAAAAGGCAAGAAGGGTGGAAAGAGAGACAGAAAGAAAGACTGAGACAAGTACGAAAAGCACGCCGTTCCTCCTACCTAAGCACCGCCGTGTCCCCTTTTCTGACCATCATGTTGTCCACGGCCGCCCAGGGGAAGTCCACACTCTGTCCAGCCGGGAGGCAGGAGGGTAGCAGGCAGCACAGGCTGAGGAGCACCGCCGCCAGCCACTGGTTCGAGCAACAAGCACCCTGCACCAACAGCATCATGTCCATCCCTGCTAGGGCTGCTCACTCTCCAGCAGCTTTCAGCTCGCACTCCCCCACCCCCTGGTGCTGGCGAGTCTTCCCGGGAACCAGGCGGCGCGCCACAGGATTTTTTTTTTTCTTTTTTTTCCCCTTTTTTCTTTTTTTTTTTTTTTGTGTGTGTGTTTTTTTTGGGGGGGTGGGGTGGGGGGGTTTCTTTTCTTTCTTTCTTTTTTTCCTTTCCCTTCTAGTTGTTGGCTGTTGTTTCTCTCTCTCTCTCTCTCTCTCTCTCTCTCTTTTTTTTTTTTTTTTTTTTTTTGCCTCCCCTCCTCCTTCTCTTCGCTTTCCCTCCCTCCCTCCCCTCCCACCCCCTGGCACCACGCTACACCTCCTCTCGGTTGCGTTTGGCCGAGTCCGGAGTGAGTCTAATTCTCGGGCGGCTCGCACACCATCTAGCGAGGAGGCGAGCGCTCCGGCGAGTGAGGGAGGAGGCGCGGCGGCGGCGGCGGAGGCAGGGCGAGCGGCGGCGGCGGGCGGCTGCAATCGCAGCAGCAGCAGCAGAAGCAGCGCGGGGCGCAGCGGCGGCCGCTGGCCCCCGGGCTCGCGCGCGTTGCCAAGCGGCCGTTTCCTTAGCAACCCCGCCCGGGGACTGGGGATGCAGCAGGGAAGGGTGGGGGGCGAGAAATGGAGGGAAAAAAAAAAAAAAGAAAGAAAGAAAGAAAACGGGGGGAAAAATCCAGAGGAGGAGGTATATCACAATTATGCAAAGTGAGGGGAAAAGAGAGATGCGTCTTAGACAAAATGCTTCCCTTCTTGTCGTATGCACTAGAGTGATGTTTCGCTAGAAAAGTCTCTGTGTCGGTGCTGAGGTGGAGAGCCGAGGGGCGCTTTGCTTTCCCTCTTTGGAGCGTTTTACCTCTTGAGACACCGTAACTTTAAAGTCCTCCAAGTTATAGTCGGCGCCATCATGACGCCAGGGACTGTGAGATTTTGTTGCTTATTTAATTCTTTCCAATCTTTCCTGGGCGGCCGCGCTACAGCCGACAAGTTGGCTACAGTCAGCCAACTAGTTCACTCTTTACCTCTTTTCGGAAATAGGGATGGTGGCGGGGGTGCTGCTTTTTGAGGGCACGGTGCATGCGAGGCCTTGCGGCGAAGAAGCTGCTGGATTTATTGGGTCAGTCAATACGGATGGGAGGGCGCCCGCTAGCCGCCCCCCAGCCCTATGCGTGATGACACTAAATAGTGTGTAAGTGTGTGAAGGATGGTCGAAGTAGAGCGTGTGTGTGTGTGTGTGTGTGTGTGTGTGAGAGTGTGTAGTATGCGCGTGCCCGGGCTCATGCGCGCGCCGCACGCAGGCGCGGTGGGAGGGATGGGGCGGGTCGTGGCTGGACGCAGTCGGGAAGAGACTGCAATCAAGTGTTTTAATTGTGTAGAGCCAGGCAGTCCTGTTATGTAAGAGGCAGGTTAACCCGTTTGAGCCTATCAGGCATAATGATCCGCGCACCCGAACCTGGGCAGGACTGAGTTTTCGGGTTTCACGAGTCATAGGGTTATATTGTTTCAGCAGCCTCCAAACCAGGTTGGACAGATTTCCTCCTCCGCGGCGCAGAGAGGCTCCCCCTGCTTCCCAAGCCGCAGCCTCTTCCGCGCTCGCCCCGCCGCTGGGAGCCGCTGTCCTGGCCTAAGGCTGAGCCGGGTGCTGGCTGGGCTAGGGGCCGCCCCCGCTATCTTTTCCTACTCCTTCCCTTCTTAAACTCGTTTCCAGATTGAAGACCCTTTAGCTCTTCCGGGCCATTTGCAGATCAATGCGAGAACCGAGGCTGGAGTCAATAGCAGTTACGCCAATCAATCTTGTTCAGTGAGGAGTTTGGGAAGCAGAGCGAGGAAGTGGAAAGAAACAAGTAATTAAAAAATATGCTCACTACCACTACCACCACCTCCCTCACCCCCCTTAAGCAGTCTTTGACGATTTTCTTCGCCTTGACTCCAGTCCTCCTTCCCCTGGAGGAAATAAATAAAGCAAAACCGCACATCTCTAACTCGTTTTCCATAATGCTAGCAGGATCCTTTGGCAAAGCGCACAGAAGCAATAATCTCTGCAGGGGTCAGCATCCGGCTGCCTCCCCAGACTGAGCTCTTTACGAGGCAGGCAGGGAGTCGTTTTGCTTCGCGGTATCGGTGCTCAGGGTGATTTTTATCGCAGTGCATGAGGATATATGGGGAAAATGGGGAAAGGGAAGTGTTCCCATCACCTGTGACCACCCAGACTGACTGTTCCAAGAGCCCCTAACTAGCATCACCTCCCCGCTGAACTGACACTCCAGTGCTAGGCAATTAACCGAGGCGCTTGCGGCAGGAGTTACTGATGTTATTAGTATTCAAGCTTAACTCTCAAACCTGGCTCAGAAATTGAGAGTGCAATAGTATTCAACCGTATTTTGAGACATCAATAAAATGTTAGTCATTTGCGGATGAATGAAAACATTTTCTTTACCGTCTGGTATGCTAGGGAAATAATTGTCAAATGACAGACTCTTGCTAATATTGATGCCAAATACCTAGATAACACTGTCATCCTGTTAACTGCGGTTTTTCTCTCGCGCGAGGTACACTGATGGATAAAGCTTAAAATTATGTAGGGCAAACGGGAAATTAGAAGAATCAGCATGTCACATGCATGGGCAAAACTATGCAGTATTATTTAATATTTTCTCTAGAAATGATCTAGATCCCATTGAAGAGAAGCAGAAGGCACAGCTTCCGGCATTGTGACTCAGTTTAGTGCTATTTTATGCGGAGATGGGATGCCAGCGTTTTCTAGTACAAGCTATGAAAAGCATCCTTTTGTAACTGCTGTTTCCCAGAGATCTGACATCTTGGGGGGGGGGAGCGGGGGAGGGAGAATTTCTGTGACCAGGGATGGAGCTGTGCAGCAGTTTTAATATGTACAACAACCCTTCAGGCTTGTAAAAGGAAACTGGAACCACTTATGTTTAAAGGCAAAGAGTTTATTTTCTTTATTTCTAGTTTTTATCTCAACTTACATTCACTGATCACAAACCACTTAAGTGTCACAAAACCAATCCAAGGGAGGCAATAACTAAACCTAGTTTATAGATGCATAGGCTATTGCAAAGATTATTTTCATGTACATCAGGCAGCCCCTATTACTATGTGTACTTTTGCTGTCCTGACTAGGGAAGAATTTGATTTTAAAAGCGCCATGACTTTCTTTTCTCTTCATTCTTTCTAAAGGCATTTTTCTGAGAGGCTTTTACAAGGTTTCCAGTATTTGCTTTTGTGGTCCTACATTTCTTCCAAGCAGAGACCTAAATTCTGGCGGTCTTGGCTTCTTCTAAGGGAAACCAGAACAAAAACAAATAACTAAATACAAGAAAGAAATCTCCCAGCTCAGATAGCATGTGGTTCCTTAGAGGAATATTTTTAAAGTATCAAGAATAGGTAACAGCATTGTTTGAACTTCTTAGATGGGGAGGGTTGGAGTGGTTATAGTAGGATGTAGGATACTCTCTTGGTCAGAGTATATAAGACCTGACATTAGAATGAGTTACTACTTCCTTTTGAATCATGTACATTTATTTTATTTTCAAAGCTCAACTTCTAATATTCTAAGAAATGTGCAACTAATTTGAGTTCCTTTGGGAGGAGAAAGATGGAGACTGATGTGTGTGATAACTGATTATGTCATTATCTAGATTGGTTTACATCCCTGTTTTTCATACCCTGAGACTTTTTTTTTTTTTTGAGTGAAATGTTTACATTTATATTGAAATATGCACTAAAACAGAATGAGTTCTACTAGTCAATGAAACTTCGCCAAAGCAGAATCACAAACTTCTGTTGGGGAGATCCAGTCAGCTAGCAGCAGTGATCCCCAAGCAGGAACACCAAGGAGAATCCTGGGAGACCCCACTCCAAAAAGCCTCCTTTCAAGAGACCCCAACTCACTTCTCCCACATGCACCCACACAGATTCAGGAGCATGGACATGCTCCTCATTTTCATATATTTTTAGTTTCTTCTTAGTTTCTTCTTTCTTCTTCTTACCTCAAGGTAAAGTTATAAGGAAGTTTCTTAAGCTTTCATAGTTTAATAAGCTTTATTTTTACAGTGTAAATGAGATCCACATTAGGAAAAAAATTAGAATATGAATTCACATTTGTTTTCTTTTTTTTTTTAAGATTTTTTATTTACTTATTTGACAGAGAGAGATCACAAGTAGGCAAAGAGGCAGGCAGAGAGGAGGAAGCAGGCTCCCTGCCAAGAAGATAGCCTGATGTGGGACTTGATCCCAGGACCCTGAGATCATGACCTGAGCCGAAGGCAGAGGCTTTACCCACTGAGCCACCTAGGCGCCCTCACATTTGTTTTCTGATGATGAGTGAGTAGACCCAGATACATCTTTCATATTACTGTCTAGGCATGAAAAATTTTAGGCAAGATAGGTCCCAGGACCTAATGGAAACTGCTAATGAGAGCACTTTGTAATTCCCGGGAGTTGGTCAGGTAGCCCTTATAAACAGGACATATGAATAATAGCTCTCTAGCATGGGCCATAATTGATTCTGTATTTGAATTAAGCTGGTTTAAGTTTGGAACACCTTGCCAACTTAAACTCACCTATCTAGAGTAATGATTTGCAGGGCACTGTGAGAATTACAAAGCTCAAGAATTTTGTTGGGGGCAGGAAAATATCCCTTTACTGAAAAGTTTCTCAAGCTAGACACTTTTGACACTTTGGGACAGGTAATTTGTTATGGGGATTGCTGTGTGCACTGGAAAATGTTTAGCACCACCCCAGGCCTCTACTTATCCAATATCAATTGTACTAAGAACTAACTTAAACCTTTGTATTCTTTAAATAGTGACAGCTACAGAGTATGCAGTCAGGAAATGGCTATTGAATAAAGGAAAGGAAAAGCAAAGTCATTTCATTGTTGACTCTATGTAAAAAATATATATTAATTTATTCACTTACTCATTTTTATCACTCTATTAAATGTGGATGTTGACCAAAGAGATAAAAAGTGGGGTTCAGTAGGGGTGCAAGAATACCTATGCTACTTCAAAGCTCTTCAAACCATTCCTATGGAATGACCCTAGAAAGTTCACCTAAGGACTTAAACCAGAAAGTGAAGTC